GATTTGCTTTCCCTTCCAGCCTTCCTAACTGGTTAACAATGTTGTACTGTGTTTTTATGCTCTTCTCTGGTGGTAGCAGATACCACAACTAGCAGGAAGTCAATCAAAGAATAAAAATGCTGAGTTCTGTTTGTAAATGAGTGCTAGTGTTTCCTTGTAGGGTTCAGCGTCCTCCGTGGATGGCCCACCAGCTTTGTAATGAAGGATCCCTCAGCCACTTCCCTTAATTCCCCTTGTCTTCTTCCAGGCTGATGAGCCATTAATGGGGCTCTCAAAAAAGGAAAAACAGGTCTGTAGGAAAAGGCTGTGACTCCTTTTGGAGTCAGGCTGGAAAAAAACCACCTTGGCAAGGAGCGGTCTTGTCCTAGCCCAGAAACTAACTGTACATACAACAACAACAAAAAAAATCCTTTGACCTTTTAAGCTACTAAGAGCCAATATGGGATTTGGATCAATGGGTGTTCAGAGGCAAGCTGAATGAAGAAGCATTTGCTGTTTTCCTCAGATACAATTTTTGGGGATTAAATAAAATAAGGCTTCTCTTCCCCACCCATAAGCCCTCCTGATCCCACAGTTTTCCTGGTTCAGTGTCCCAGAGTGTCTTGTGAATTTAATCAACTAGCATGCAAAATAATATGATGATGCTGACAAATTGTAGTAAAATTTGTCTGATTGCTGATACTGCAGTATAGGAATCCACAGTGTGTTGTGCACCTGGCATTTCAGATTGCCTGGAAAAAAAGTTCATTAATTACTGTGTGTAATGAATAACAGCTCTGATTAACCTGCAGGGAAGTGGGTGTGATACTGAAGTGATGGCAGCAATATCCTCAGGTTCACCCCTTTGGATGGGAAAGGGGAGCTTGTTGCACAGTGCCGTACTGAAAACCACCACCCCTAAAAAATAGCATCCCTTCCTTATCCATGTCCTCGTAACTTCACTGTTCTTCTGTGGGAGGGAAAGGGCATTTGTGCTGGGAAACTGCCTGCCTTGAACTTTCATAACTAGAAACTGTTCTCTTTCATTCCTGGGAACAGCTCCTCATTATTTGAAGCACAGATCTGTGAGAAGCTAAGGTAGCCTGGCAGCTTAGGCGTTATTATATTGGCATAAATATCTCAGTTTTGGCTTTCCATCAGTACTCCTCCATTCCATCAGGTATAAAAGATCCTCCTACCTTGTCATTATGCTTCTGCAATCTGTTCTGAAGGCCCCATGTGCAGCAGTAGAAAGACTATAGCTGTCTGTGGCCCCTCTTGTCCCTCAAAATGCAGGAGTGCATGCAAAGTGCCCTTTATTCCAAACTTCCCTTCGTGGAACAAACCCAAGGGATATGTAAATGTTTTTTCTTAGATGGAAGTAAATGGGCAGCAATGGCTGTTGAGTGGATCATGCAGCAAGACTGGCATTTCCATGGTAAATATAAGTGGTGGGTTTGTGATGGCTCTTTCAGTGTCTGGTATTTTCTCCTGAACTTCCCAAAACCAAGAGCCCCATTCTTCTAAGAGGACCACAGAGATGTCCTGGAAAGTAGAAAGAGTTTTGTTCCCCTGCATGTTTTTTGTATGATTTTATTGCGAAAATATGAAGCTGTAAACCAGACAATCCTTATATTCTATTAAGCTGCTTTCATTAATTATTTACTATTTTTCCTTACAGTTGTCTTTATAATCTGCAAGAATTTTTACAAAATTTTAGGAAAATTTTGGCTTCTGGCTGTTTACATTGTGCATTTCAAGTATTTTTCCTCACTGGAATCATCAAACATTCACAGTTCTGCATCTCACTTCACTTGCGGTATCAGTCAAATGTCTTAATGAAATATAACTGTTTGAGCTGGGAAAAATCCCCCAATCTTTGCTTTATTGAAGCATGAACTTGTTTGTTCTTTTGAATTCCTGTTTTGTCCCCTGATGAGCATCTTTTCATCATGTCCTTTATGTTCTGTTTAATACTGCAGGACCCTGCTGGCACCGAAACCATCCTGCCTTTTCTAAATTATTGATAGGTACACAAATTGCATACAAGCTATGTGAAAAATGTATGGTGACCTAAATTTACCTAACTGGAGGAAAAGCTTTGTGCTGCAGCTCAGCTGAAGCTGAGGAGACAAACTGAGCTCAGAATCTGGGCTGCTGGCACTGGCTGTTGCCAAGTGTAAGGAAGATAGAAAAGACTGAGGCCCCTGGAATAAGTAATAAACAAGTAATAAACACTTGAAGTGTCTCTCCCAGTCCTTAACTCATGAGTCCTTTGTTTGCTTTTTTCTCTCCTCTGCCCAGCTGTGGCAGGGGAGGGTGAGTGAGTGACTCTCATGGGTGCCTGGTGTGGGGCCAGTGTCAAACCACAGCACCACGTTACATGGCCCTGCTCTCCTGGAGATGGCTGAACACCTGCCTGCCCGTGGGAAGCAGGGAATTCATTCCCTGTTTTGCTTTGCTTGTGCGTGTGGCTTTTGCTTTCCCTGTTAAATTGTCAACCCAGGAGTTTTCTGGCTTTTACTGCTCTGATTCTGTCCCTGATCCTTTTGGCTCTCTGGGGCTTGGTGGCTGCCTGGGGTGAAAATGTGATGGTAAATATTTTTATTCACTATTTTAGTTGACATCACAGTAGGACTATGCCTTGCGTTACAAGAGTGAGCCTGGGAAAAGAAGGAAAGCTTATTCTTGCAGAAACGAGTAACAAAACCACACCCTGAGATTAAACTATTGGAAGAAAAACCTGTTACCAGATAATAAAATGCATAATACAGCCTTACATTAAATTCTTGTCAGTCAAGGTCTCAACATGCAGGCAAATCACAATACAGCTGGGCTTGTTTGCTGCCTGGGGATGATTTATTGAGGCATTGGTGCACACAGGTAACTACAGAAGCCTAAAGACATTTGATGACCCTTTGACATGCAGATACCCTTAAGCACAGCAGGTACAACAACAGCGACAGAGAAAGCAGGGAAACAGTTTTTGGTTGAACACCTACTCTGGTGGTGTGCAGCTCTGCTGTCAAGGTGCTCCCTGTTCTTTCTGATTCCCCTGGGATGAGCCATGCCAGCACGCAGAGGGCATGCCCAGCCGGGAGCCAGGACGTGCAGGAGCGCTGCTCCAGGGCTGGGAGGCGTGAAGAGCCCAGCTTTCTGTGCCAAGCTCTTGATGCAGAAGTTACCGAGCTGTCACATCAGCTATGCAGACAGGCTCATTCCAGGCATGCAGCGAGGAAAACATCCGAGCACAAATAGAAATGGGAAAGGTTTTATTGCTTTTATTTTTTAAAGAAAACCTTTGATTTCTAGTTTATAATTTTGATAAGGGCGTGGAAGTGAATATGAAAGGGGCATTCTGGTAACTGGCAGCTGTGTCAAAACTTCATTTCAGTGCAAAGCTACATTCCCATCTCTTAAAAAGCTGTTCTTTACTGCTCCAACATTTCTGCCGTCTGTATTTTGTCATAAAGGAATGTGTTGTGGGGGGTGTGGTCAAACTCTCTTTTAAACTTGCTAAGTCTTGCAATAGTAGAACTTTTCCTTGCAAAAGCACAGGACTTTTTCCTGTGCAAAACGGGAGGATGTAAAGCCTCACACCAAAGCCCCACAAGAAGCCAGAAGTCAGAAGTACAGTATCTCTGCAAAACTTTTTAAAAAAGCTTAAAAAGAGCTCTAAAAGCAATTTTAAACTACTTGTCATTAAACCACCTGGAAACTTTTTGATTAGAAAAAAACAAGTAAATGAGACAGCCTTAGACTCACCCTTTCCCCCCCCAATTTGTTCCTTAACTTAGATGCAATTTTTAGATATTGAACACTCTGCATTTTCATGGGACTAGCAAGTTAAAATATTCCTTCAGGAGACAACAGAAATAACTATTCTTGAAATGCTAAGCAAGTCCAGAGAGTTGCAACTATTTTCAGAATCCCCTTTCTTGGAAAATTCTACATCTGCTCAACAAAAATAGCTGTGAATTTAGGTTCTTATATGTTAATTCACTGAGCACATCTGAAGAGTGCATTAAAAGTACTTGTCCTCACAAAAGAAGAAAACCAAAAGCTTTTTCAAGAGCTTTTATAGCAAGAAGCATTTTTAATTTATACTGTGACAATAAATAAATTCAATTACATTTGCTGATTTCCAAATATATTAGAAAGGAAAAGGAATATCTAGAAACAGTCTGTGCTGGATGAAATGTAGGGGTCTAATCAACATCTTTATTCCTTCAAGTGCAGCAGCAGTGATGAAATTTCCAGTACCCCACTGAAACAGCTCACATAAAAGTATCCACATCTGATAGAAAATTTAAACTCTCAGGTTTAAAGTAGGTTATTTACTCCAAGTCCAGTGTTTCAGGGGCCAGCTCTGTCTGTCTCAGGGCTAACAAAACAGGAACGACGCTGGCTGTGGCAGCTTCCTGAGGCAAATTCACGGCAAGGTTTTGGGGTGCTCATTCCAAAACAGCCGAGTACTAAAGACTAGGAATGCCCTCAGCCACTAGGTGGGGTGTTGATTCTGCCGTTTAAAGTGCTGGCTGCTGAAATGAAAGAAGTTAAGGGCTGTTGAAGAGCTCAGATCTAATTCTGATTCACTTTGGCCCCCCTGGTACAACCCGGAACAAAATCAGTTCAATGAGCTGTTGGCAGGCCCTGTGAGCAGCTGTTTAATCTCACCTTTTTGCATACTAGACAGAGCCCAAATCAGAGTACCCCCTACTAGAATTAGCTTTTGATCATTGGGTTTATAGAGACGGGCTTGCTTGTGCTTCCTCTCCTTAGGCAAACAACCACCCGCAAGAACAATCTCACAGACCCCACACTTCGCGACACCCGACAGGCGGGGGATGCCCCTGCCCGCCGCGGTCCCGCCTATTTCCGGCCATTCCCGAGCGAATCCCGGCCATTCCCGAGCGAATCCCGGCCATTCCCGAGCGAATCCCGGCTCCCGCTCCCGCCCCCTCAGCGCCGCGCGCGCAGCGCCCCCTGCCGGCCGCGGGGCTCGG